TTAAATTGTTCTTATCTCAACCAATGAGTCTTCTTCCCTTTTCCCCTTTAATTCTCTTCCCCATTCCCCAGGGGGTGGGGAGGGTGAGCGAGCAGCTTCGTGGTGTTTAGTTGCTGACTGGTTTAAACCACGATAGTTCTCCAAAAAGTTATCTCTTGCAAGTTATTAATTAAGCCATAATGAAGCTGCTGAAAGCTTTTGATCTGCTTGATGTAGGTGAACAATACTCAAGTTTCTTTACAGAATGTTTTCTTGATGGTAGTGATAGTAATATGTTGAATAAATATCAGCATGTGATCGATTGGCTTCATAAAAAAATATGTTTTAAGAAGATTACTGCATTTCGATTAAGCTTGTTAATTGTTTTACCAACTTTCTGCCTTGTGTAGCTAACTGTCTTCCCAGGTGTGCTGGTTTTGGCTGGAGCAGAGTTAATTTTCTTCATAGCAGCTAATATGGGGCTGTAATTTGAATTCGTGTTGAAAACAGTGTTGACAACACAGGGATGTTTTTGTTACTGCTGGGCAGTGCTTAGACACACACCATCAAGGCTTTTTCTGCTCCTCACACCGCCCCGCCAGCAAGTAGGCTGGGGGTGCACAAGCAGCTGGGACAGCTGACCACAGCTGACCAAAGGGGTATTCCACACCATATGACGTCATGCTCAGCATATAAACTAGGGGGAAAGTTAGCCAGGGGTGCCGCTGCTCGGGGGCTGGCTGGGCATCGGTCGCTTGGAGGTGAGCAATTGTTTTTCATTTACATCACCTGTCTGTCTTGGGTTTCATTTCTCTTTCTTGTTATTTTCCTTTTTATTACAGTTATATTATTATTATAACATTTCGTTTCAATTATTAAACTGTTCTTATCTCAACCCACGTATTTTCTCACTTTTACCTTTCCACTTCTCTTCCCCCTCGTCCTGCTGGGACGAGGGAATGAGCAAGTGTCTGTGTGGTGCTTAGTTACTGGCTGGGGTTAAACCACGACAGCAGACGAACTTTCCCCCACAGTTTCTGATCCTTAAAAATTGAACCCTTAACTAGAGATTAAACTGTTAGAGTGGATACTCATTGTTTCACATGACCAACATCTGTTGTCTCCAGCAGATGAAGTAAGGTAGTTTTTGTTTTTGCAAGTGTTTCTTAATTTCAGTGGCTTGGTTCATAGGGATATCAAACTCTAAGTTATTATTACGCCTTCTTGTACTGAGTTATTGTGTCAGCGTTTAATTGAGTCATGCCAGATGATACACACTTCGAGGCTGAGCTTATGTGTAGTCATCACTGATACCTATTTTTCCCAAGTGCCACCGGTTTTTATTTTCTGTTGCCTTATAATTAAAGTGTATTTTGAACAGCGCATACTGCAAGCCTCATATGAGTACAACCAGCCCAGTTACAGGTGTGATTTGAGACCAGAATAGTAAACCAGTACAAGCCCTAAAGCATGCATAGTTTTTTGTGGAAAAGTATTCTCATGGCCTTCCTACCAGAATAATCCTATTACATAGGAATAAATTAAACCAGTGACAGCGCATAACTGGGTTTTTAAACTTTTTGTCTTTGCAGCATTGGGTAAAGCTAAGGAGGCTAATAATGAACATCAGTTTCATTGCTCTATTTCAATTTTCTCTATCCCCTTTGGAAGCTTGCCTCCCACTCCCCCATTAGCCATGTTTTTTCCTTTTCCTAATTGTTCTTTCTTGTAGTCTCTCTACTGTGACTGTACTGAGTTACCAAGAGATTAAAGAAGCTGAAATGTTTCAGTTTGGAGAGGAGAAGGCTAAAGGTGAATGTGATAGAGCCTTAGAAAAATCACAGGGGAATGGCAAAATGGCTGTTCACCATGTTTCGCAGAGCTACAAGTAACAGGGCAATTGGTAAAACTTCTGGTAGACCTATTTAAAATCCACAAAAGGAAGTGCTTCTATAGTTTACTTTTGGAACTTACTGCCACAGGAATTTGTGGAAGCAGATAGTATCAGCAGGTTCAAAAAAGCATTAGAGAAATTGTTAACAAAAGGCCTTTAAGCTGGAATTACAAGTATGTGTGAGTGTGCCTCCTAGCACATTTCATCCAATGGCTGTGAATGCTGAGGTAGTAGATGAGAAACGTGTCACTGATAGTGCTGGTGTAACACGCTTTTTCTGGTGTTACTATTGGAGACTGAACACTTGTCTGAATGGTTAATTGGCCTTACCCAGCAGGGCATGGCGTATTAGCTCTCACAGGTATTCTCCCTGAGCTATATGGTTCATGTCTGTCTTTTAACATACACTAAGTTTATAAGGATATGTTTTAGTGAAAGTCTTGTCTTTTCTGCTGGTTGTCACTTGGCTTCATCTCTTTCAAATAAATTGCAGAACACTTTCCTTACTAATAATAATTCTCAGAAATCGTTTGTGCAATTCTGGTATTTATTTACATGGTTTGCTTTTATCGCACAAGTTACACAATGTCTCTTTTTGTGTTGGAACTTTCCAACACAAACAACAGGGAAAACCCAAACTTATTCCCAGCCTAAGCAGTGAGCTGAAGAGCGAAGGTGGTTTACTTGTTGATACATGGTAAGCAATGTTCCACTGCGTGGTTATGTACCTGGTTTTCAGGATGTATATCAACTGAGCAAGAGTTAACTTTAAACAGCAGAGTAACTTCCCTTGTCCACATGACTTTCTTTTCTCTTGCCAACGTTGTCACACTGTGGATGTTCTGGTCCTCTGCCTTTCCAGGACCACAGGCAAGAATTGTTAGGCCACTCCTTCCTTCTGAATCCTTGAGAGCTATCTTGTGTGGATGTGTGCTTCTGCGTGTCATGCAGCTATGCTCACCTCATAAACCACGTTATCTCAAGAGTTTTGTGGCTCTTCATAAAGCTTTGCAAGTGCGTTCTTACGCCACCAGCAGACCCCTTCTCCCTTAACCACCAGACAGACGTTTGCAAAATGCAAGCCCTTAAAGTTCTTTTTCATCAGTTTCATATAGCTTTCTTTGAGATGCAGTTAAAGTTTGAGCATTTCAGTTGAGTGTGTTCTGATTGATTGCAGCAATGGGTAATCTTAGCTGCAGGTTTTTGGGAATTCCAATAGCATTAGTACTAAATTTACTTAATTGCATTGCAGTTTTTGGGGTTTGGAGAGTTTGTTTTGCTCATTTGTAAAAAGCTTAGAGTTCCCTTCTTCAACAGTTTCATGTTTGTAAAAATTCACTCAGCTTCTGGCATGAGGTGAGTTAATAGTTTCAAGAGAATTATCAGGAAGTAAAAAAAGAATGTATTGTCCCTTTGTATTTGAGTAAGGCAATTTGGGACGTAGTGGTTATGTAACTTTCTACCTCTCAGTTAAAGAAAGTTGCAAAGGGATGGAGAAACACTAACACAGTGGTGATAGTTCTGGGAGTTGCACAACTGATGGGTGCCTACTTGCAACAGTTCCACATGTTACACGGGAAAACGTACTCATGGCTTCTTCAAGCAGCTGTGTTTCCATTAATGCTGTGATATTCTGTAAGGTTTCTAGGGAAGAATCACTTCTGTGTTGAATTTCGAAACCTTTCAGGAGGTCATTTACTGTGCAAAATGATGTTCGTATTTGACACCAAAAACAGTATGTGGGAGTGGCTTCATTGGTGGTGGGTACAATTTTGGGAGCTCCCAGTCTCTTTTCTTTTGTCTTCTGTGGGACTTTTCCAAGAGAGAAGGTAACTTCATATATATAACACTGGTAATTTCATTGTTGGTAGTAGTGCAATAATTTTCTTATTGACTCCCAAATGTCTTAATTCAAGAAGAATTTCTAAATGGTTTATTTTCTAAAATATTTACTCAAACTGGAGGCGTTATGAAATTTACGTGATGAACCATTCCTTCTATTAAATCTGTTGTGTTCTGAACTTTGACTTGTGAACAAGATGGGTATTTTTTATTAACTTGTCTCAAATGACACAGTGTTATTTTGCACCTTTTGTAAACAACATAATGAACTGTGTGTTTACATTCTTAAGTTGCCACGCTGAATAACTGTCAGCTTGCTGGAAAAGTAACATTTTAATGTAAACACTGGATAAAATTGAGTTAATCTTCAAATTACATGTGTATGTGTGTATATACATGTATAAAATATAATCAAGAATGGTGAAACTTCACCTTCTTTGAGTGTTTAAATGTGATGCAATGTTTTCAAATCAGCAAAAGCTGACTAGGCTGACTGTCCTCCTGCTTAAGTGGATTGCACTATTTCCTCCCTAGAATTCACAGGGAATTGTAAATATACCTTCAGTAAAACTTTATGGACATAAAGATTGTGTGTGTGAGTACATATGTAAGATAAAAGTAATGTTATGCAGTGCAGTATAACATAGAAGTGTTATAATACACGAATGGCAATAAGTTATTCTAAAATTTGCAGAAGTCTGTGGTATATTTCTGCCATCATGTACTGTTATCTTGTTCAAAGCCTAAATGTTTACATGAACCATATAAAGCTTTATTTTCTTAAAAAGAAACACAGCCGTCTCTTTCATCTCATACCATAGTAATGCTTCTTTATTTAATTTTTAGATTGGTAGCATTCTGTTTGAGAATCCTCCTTCAAATAAATTACTCTCAAAATGTGTTGATAGCTATACCTTGATACATTATGATTTTTTTGGTGTACGAGCATTCAGCAAGACACAGACTTGCTAACTGAGGTCTGACGGTGGTTCTTTGCCATCATAATAACTAATAAAACGTGGCTCTCGCAGTAACTAGAAACTAGAAGGAGGGTTACTTTTATCCTTGCTGCAAAGCCAACTCTAGTATGAATTCTCCCTATTGCTTTCTGTGCAAGGAGCAGAGTCTGTTTCAGGGCTTACTGACTACCTCACTGTGGCTGAAGAGTTGTCCATGCAGCTTCTACTGACGTCATGTTGAACATAAAATGGGAAACAGTTCTTCCTCATAGCCCTTGACTTTTTTAATCCCGGTAATGAAATAATCATGTAGTTGCTCTTTTGTGGCCTTATTGATGGCGGGAGGAAAACACATAAGTGTACGGTGTTGCTTCAGGGTTTGAGGAAGAAGCACTTGGGTAGAAGAGAGGTAACTAGTGCCCGTGCTGAAGGAGGTTCAGCCTTGCTCTGGGATAGAGGAGAGAGTGGGAACTAGATGAAGTGGGCTAAGGGAGAGCTAAAGGAACCACGCCTGAAGCCTGGGCGTGTAGGGCAGGATCGGAAGGCAGTGTGTTAGGTTTGGAAATTAGATGGGGTTGGGAACCAGGAGGAACATGAATAGTATTGCAATGAAGAGGGAAAGAAACAAAACAAAGCTCTATTACCTGTGGCCTAAGCTTACTTCCTGTTGAAAAGCTCTACCTGATCCCTCGCCTTCCACATTTGATTACCTTGGAAGACCACAGATATCTTTTGTGACAGATTGAAGTCCCTGTGTAGAAGACAGAGTTTTCCAGATTATTTTCTGGTATTCTAAAATTTCAGATCAAAACCTGCTGCTTTTTGCTGCTTTTCCCATTATATCATGAAATATGCTTCTGAGCTTGTTCAGCATTGTGGATTTTGCCGGTGATGCACGTCTCATTGAAAGGCTGTATTAATTCTGGTAGTTACAGAGACATTTTGTCAAGCTGTTTTTCATTCATCTGAACGTACTGGCTACTGAGTTTGCATTGGTTTGGTAGGATTTTAGTATTTACAGATGGTAAATTATTTAAATTGAAACCTAACTGGGAAAATATGTTCTCCACAACTAATTAATTAAATGCAAAATGAATTCTTTTAATTAGGATTACTGTTGATGATGTTTATTGCCTCTTAAAACCACAGTCCTAAATTATTATTTTATAGTACTGTAAGTCTGATATGCCTGATTTTTTTTTAATACCTTTGCTATATAGAAAACTTGCACAGCAGATATGTTCCTTTTTTCTTTTTTTTTTTTTTCTTCTTCCCCCGTCCCGGCTGTGTCATCTTCAAACTTTTTCTCTTGTATTGAGTTGTTTGAATTTCATCTTGAACTTTTTGAATGTCTTTTTCCTTCTTTATGGTGGGAGGGATAAAAGAGAAGAGGTAGAAGCTACATTTTCTTTGCTTTTGGAGCTAAATCTAATGACAGCTGTACCGACAATTTTCTTCTGTGTTTACATGCAGCCAGGAGCTATGGGCGGAGAAGAGGTAAAAGTATTTACTAAATGTTTTGTTTGCTGAATAGTGGGAGAAATAAATATTTAGTTCTTTTATAAGATGATGTTACCAATTTTAACATTATTTGGTTGATCAATTGCTTTGTATAAATCAATCTCATATTCTTCATTTGCAAAACATCTCCCTTTTAATAGCAGTTTAAAGCAATGATGATATTGAGCTGATAACTTCAAGTGTGTTGCTATTACTAGTGAACTGGAGGATGACAGAATGTAAAGACTCTTTCATGACACACATTTATGACTTTAAATGTCTAGCATTCAAAAAAAAAAGATTGTTTTCAGCTTTGTGGTTTTTTTTTTTAGTAGAACTGCAATATTTAACTAGTGCATTGAACACTTCAAAAATACTTTTGTCTTAGATGAAGCACCTTTACTGAATATTACACTGGAGTATTACATTGGATTGCCTTAGGTAGAACACTGTGAATACCAATACTAATAACTGTCCTTAACAGTGAATATTTATGATAATAATAATAAAAAGATACAGTATTTGAGCACTTTTTAGCTTTATTTCATCATAGGCAACCCTTAAAAAATAAAACATTTTACAAATATACAGTGCTGCATATAAATCCATTCTGAGAGATTAATGAACATGGACAATAACAAGCTCGCTGACTACCCGCAAAACTACTAATGTACCTTACGTTTATGTACTCTGCTGTAGTTTACACAGACTGTTTTTACTGAGAAAATAGCAGTAAAGATTGCAGCTTTTAACAATTAGAGTTGGGCAGAGCCATCTGCTTGGGGTACTTTGCCATTAAACTTTTTTTTTTTTTTTCTTCTTTTTCATGTATGTTCTGTGACAGCTATGCATGTGACATCACTTCCTTTTTTAAATGTAGAATTTGCATCATGTTTAGGAAGAAGCTTAGGGACAAAGCTGGCTCTACAAGCAAGCTGATAGGGTACAAATAACTTGTAGTTTGCACATCTGGGCAGATTAAGGTGGTAGGCTAACTAACACAGTTAGTACTAACGCAGTTTATAATACAGAATTTGAGCTGGTTTTGTTCAAAGCTGACTGATTTTAGTGTTTACTTCATAGATAAAACAAGAAGAAAAGAATTACGTTTTTCCTCACAAACTTACTTCCTATTTTTCCCCCACTTCCAGGGAACAGGCTATTGTTAACAGATATTGAAAGCATCCTGATGCTTACTTTTTTCAGTGCTTTCATGGTACTGAAACAAATGGGAAAGTATGTGGAGTATATAATCCTGTATACTCTCTATGCATGTGAACACTTTAATTTCATTTTAAGATTGTGGCAACTGTTTCCAGGTTGATCACATGGCACCAAAGTAGGGAAGGAGGTGGGAATCAGTTGGACACTGTTAACTTCTTGCAACTCATGTTTACTTGTAGAAATGAAATATAGTAGTGTGGCAGTAATTCTGATGAATACAGTGTAGGCTGTTTTATACAAAATGTAGAGATGAAAAAACAGGGCAAACAAGTTCTGAATGTGCTGTACTTTCAGATTTTTATTTTTTTTTTACTCTACCAAAAATCATGTTTCACACCATAATTGTTTCTGATGTCAAATTCAGGCTTTTCTATAGTAACAAGTAGATTTGTGTGTGTGTGCTTGTGTCTCGTCATTATTGTTAGGGATTTTGTGACTTGCCTTATTCATACAATATTAAAGTTTGTGATATTCATGCTTTGTCATTACGTTGAATTTTCTAATGTTGTTTTGAGCTTTCTTAAGCTTAACAAACATGAAATTCTACAGTAGTCTGTTAAAAAATGATGTTTTTTATAAAATGTTCTCATATATTCCTCTGTTACTGTTTTTATCATTTGTATTGTGGTATACGCAGAGTACCCAGAGGTGAATCTGTGCAGGGAGTCATTTCATGTTTATTATTCTTGGATATTTTAATTAGCATTTGATTCTGCCGCTGTGACTAAGCATCGTCAGTGAGAAGAGGTTTTGTCAGAAATTTCTTGGGGCTTACCAAAACTTATCAGTGCTCTATTCTATCCTCTGTTTTCTTTGAGTAAAGAGGTGAGCATTTCTTCACAGGTATCATGCTTAGAGCTGTTGAGTCATGTTCTTTTATGTACCTTGTTTTTAACTTTTACAACCAGTTTTTCAGGTACAGATGTAAGCACAGCTATGGGAAATCAGCCTAAATCTAGTCTGCTACACTGACAACTCAGAGATGCCAGGGGAGGGGCACGAGAATATTGAAAATAGGGCATTTAGTGATGCTTTCTCATAATACTCTCCCAGAGATTTGCCTCTGGGGGTTTCCTGAGGTGATGTCTCAATATTCATTGCTTCAGAATAGATTTTTCTCCTGTTTTTGCTCATTCACTTTTTGAACCTACATAAACTTTTCAGCATCCTAAAAAGCCTGTGGCAAGGAGTTCCACAGTTTGACTTCCTTTCAGCCTTGCCATGTACTGATTGTGTTCAATGCACTTCAGTTTCCCCTTACCAGAAGAGACAGTGAACAGTCATTCCCTATTCCCTTGTCTGTGTGCTTTCCATTATTTTAAACATGTCCTTCATACATTTAACTCTATACGTGACTTAACTATAAAGTTTTAGGTCATTTTTTGCATTTACTTAAGATGAGTACCATGCTTGCATGCTGTCAAGCATCTGGTGTAAGAGGTGATAGCTTTTTTAATAAAGCTGCTGTGCATTTTTATTATTTCCTTAAGAACTCAGCACTTACTCAGCCTCCTCTGTGGACCTGTATTTTAGTTGAACACCTTGTTCTAGTATCTATTAATTTGATATGTCGACTTCCACTAACGGCTTGTGTTTATTGTTGGTTTTATCTTTTACAAGCAGGTAGGGTGGGGGGTGGGAACGAAAAGATTATTTAGCTTCCTAGTAATGTCATTCTCTTATGGGTATTTTCAAATTTCATACTTTTTAGTGGGTTTTGATTTGATATTTTTACACAATTTTAGCCTTCCTAATTATTATTTCTCTCATGCATGTGTTCTCTTTTATGCTGAAATGCATATGTTTATGTATGTGCATGACCTGTTTGTCCCTTAATGGAATATTCATCAATAGTCTTTCCTGTTTTATGCTCTAAACCCACCATTTCTGACAACCAGTTATACTAGACTTTGAAGAGTAGCATCTCTAAATCCTTCTGTGATTGTGGCACTTACCCTGTTTTTTTATGTTGGTGCTTAAAAGCACAGTAGGATTTTTTGCTTCAGTGGATTTTTGCATCTGTGATCTCTGTCAATGTTGTGCATTCAATATATTCTTTTTAATCAAGACTTTTCTAGTGCCTGCTGTTCATTAAAAAAATCCGGCTGGTGTTCTTTGTCAGTCAGAACATCCTTCCTGGTTTTTGTTTGTTAGCTTGTTTTCCAAATATAGAGTTGCTTATTCTTTTTGTAATCTGTCCTTTACTGCTGGAGACTGTTATTGATAGTTTCAGTGTATTTCAGTGTTTTTCTGACTAGTGTCCCTCTGCAAGTCTTGATTTTTCTCCTTGCTCATTTTTATTTCCTGTACTTCGCTGTGCTGTTACCAATGTGGGATTAATTCTTCCTTAGGTCTTGCTGGAAGCCAGTTTCATGTGATCCATTACCTTTGAATTTAATTATGTGCCCTGCTATTTATATTTGTAATTAACCCCTTTATAAACTGTTTGTATCAATTAATTATGATTCCATCCCCTGTAGCAATCCTCCACAATATGAGGGAACTGTTAGCGTTTTCAGAGTTGAGATGGGGTTCCCATTTATACATCTCTCTACATCGCAGGATTTATTTTTCAACTCAGGTATAGGGAATTATTAAATTCCAAAGTTGGCATGTTCTCCAGTGCTGCTTACATACAAACTTTCAATATTTCTTTATCTTCTGGGTTAATAAGACTATTCTTAAGATAATGTGTGTATACTTCCGTAGTAATAGCAACAAGTTAATTGCATCAGATGATCACAAATAAATTCTTTACTTTTCATGAACCATGTAGCAGCCATGTATATTGCTTGTTGTTAACTCATTACTTAACTGAGTAACAGCTTGACAGGCTGTCCTAGCAAACAACTTTTTCTTCAAGTGCAAGTTTTTTGTGGTTTAAGAATATTTTAAAGATTTTTTTTTTTTCCTGTTAGCTAAGCTTCGTGTTTCACCTACATTTTTAATATCCACAACACAAGGTTTTTCTATGTTTATTTTGCTGTTTGCCCCCCTACTCAGTCTGGGCCTCTGTCCACTCGAGGAGGAAGTGACGCAGCCCTTGTGGTTAGGACCCTGTAAAGCACTCTGAAGAAGACAGTCCGGTTCGGCAGTGCAATGGCTTGAAGGATCTCCTCTTTAAGATCATTCCTTCAAGATCTGTTATGGAATATTTAAATCTCTAAGCATCGATTTGAAATGTAACTCTTACAAAGGCTCCTTCTATAGCTATATGACACACAATTTCATCAGATAACTGGTTGGTTTTATTGCTAGCCGTTTGCAAGAGTTTATTTTAAAGCTAAATTAGGTTTATTGTCTTGTAAGGATAATACAGTCTTAGAAAAATAGAAGCAATACTAATGAACATCATTGGGATAACTGGACCACTTAGCTGGGCCCTTTAATGCAAATTCTGTTAAAGCAAAAGAGTAAAAGGAAAACATAACTTTTTTTTTTTTTTACTGAAATATTTAATTCTCCAGGAAATAGCGTTAACTATAGATACTACAAAATCTGTTACAGGTCGGTCTTCACTATTTACTTTTGAAGATGGCTTCCTAGACGACAGTCATGGTGATCAGTCGTTATCATCGGGTCTCAGCTCGCCAACACGCTGTCAGAATGGTGAAAGAGTGGAACGCTATTCTAGAAAGGTGTTTGTTGGAGGTCTTCCTCCTGACATTGATGAAGGTACTGTGAATAAGTTACATTGGTGAGATGCGGGAATTGGCTTTCATATAATTACTTTTAAAAGGTCAGATTTTCATAAAAACAAATGTATTTCTGCAGGTATGTCACTTGTAGTGCTTGTGGCATTATTTAGAACAACCAACCACCACCACCCTCTGCAACACCTGAGAATTTACATGACATTCTTTTGTACTGTAGATCAGAAGAGACGAGACAGAAATGCCTGCATAGCGGGTCTTCTAATCTGCAATAGCAGCTGTGTTCCCGCATATGTAAAGTGGGAAAGCTGAAAAAGGGAACTTAGTGGGTATTGTCACTCCTCCATAGTTTTCCCCTGTTCTTTTTAAAAGATAGGGTTGACTTTGAGGACTTTGTTAATACAGTCCTTTAATTAATCAGCTCTTATATCCAGCATATATGCAGTGTTCAGTTGACAAATGTAGTGCAATTAACATGGTAACAAAATAATAACCAGCTTAGTAGAGATGGTCAGGGTTTTTCTCAATCTCAATCAAAACCTGCTCTACTTGTATGTGCCCCCAGACACCCTGACTCCCAAACCAAAATTGTGAGGTTTTGGTGTATTTTTCATATTATAACTGGAATTCACCACTACCTAGCTTCAATTGGCATATACAGGGAATTTGAGAATGCGTTATAAGGAAAAGAGAGGGATCTCCAAAGCTGCTCTGCTAAACTGAAGCCTAAACCACATGCAATGTTAATAAAGAAACAGCATGAGTTGCCAGTCCGTGGTTTACAAATGGCTCAAATGCAGTTCCCGTGTCACATCATGAGCTGCAGGACTGTCGATACAGGGACTGCTGGGTAATCTGAATCCCCAGCTGTAAGAAGAAGCAGGCCAACACAGGTACAACTGACGTGAACATTGCTGGGTCACTCAGAATCAAAATGTATGCCCAGCCTGTCCTGTGAGGAAGTAACATGGCCACTCGGGAGCTGTTACCCTCTTCCATGAGAGGTCTACTTCAGTAACACCTTTTTCCTTCAGCTCCTGAGTTATGCGGTATGTGTTTTGTGGGTCTAGTTGCTTGAAAAATCTCATGTGCAGCTCATGGGGTCAGATAAACTGGACACATCTCAAACAGCAATGAAAAAACTGTAAAACCACTGCTTTTCTCTTCAGACTTTTCTCCTGATGGATTGTTGCTCTGATCTGTCTAGCATCACAACAGACTATCTTAAACTAATTCTTTCTTTAAAGAACATAAATAGATGCATTGAGAAAAAAGATTCTTTTAAAAAATACTTTTTTCTGAAGCATTTGCGTGTAAAACAAAATTGTCCTATAGGATAGTTTGAGATGTGTGTTCCGCAGTGTTTGTAAATTGATGCTTTAAAAGCAAAGAAATAACATGGTAATTCAAGGCAGGTTTCCAGAGGGGACTGAGGAAGGTGAAATCCCCACAGTCGCATGACCTGATGCAGCCTGGTTTCTAGGGCATGCTGCAAGGAGTGGCCATGCTGACATGTAGCTCCTCCATCAGCCCTGTGTGGCTGCATCTGACCCTGCTTTGCAGCTATAATTAGAAATAGACCACAGCTGAAGCATATTCACTTCTAATGGATCATGTTTGCGTTTAATCCTGCTGCAAACTTGCATTAGTTGAATACAAAATTACTTTTCTAAGCAAGCATGTATGGCATAGAGGTGAAAGAATATTTAGGTATCTTATATGTACATTATTGCAGTTTTCACTGTTCTTAATAGGTGTAGAAAATAGTGTCTCTTTTTTTATTATTTTAAGTAAGAATTTTTACCTTGCCACTGTCAGTCTTCAGATTCTCTCTAAGGTGCCTCCTTTGTTTTTTGTAGATGAGATCACTGCCAGCTTTCGTAGGTTTGGACCTCTTGTGGTGGACTGGCCTCACAAAGCTGAAAGCAAGTCATATTTTCCACCTAAAGGTAATTAGTTTAAAATACATTCATGCAGGCTGTTCTAGTAAAAGGAAACTATGTCTGCAATGTGGCAATCCATTACAAAGAAAAGTTTTGACTCTTTGTGATGAATTTTCTCTCTTTCAACAAGCATCTTTTCAGCAGTTCTCAGGATAGAAAAAACACAGTTCGGTGACTGAAATGTGGTTCTGTGTGTGTACTTTTTCAGCAGTCCTGGAGTCCTTGAATCATGTCTTAATTTATCTAGGCTTGCTTTAGACGGCAAATTGCAGGAATTTCCTAGTGCTGATTCTGTTGCAGTTTGCATATTGTAGAAACGATAGGAATAATAGCTGGAAGTCACTGGTGGATTTGGTACATAGTATTTTGTAGGGAAGCACGAGTCCACTTTGTGTGTTCTGACCCAAGAAGCTGTGATCCTGCTCAGAACAACAAGGTTGCATCGGGGTTTGCTGGGTGCTGAACTGCAGGAAGGAGCTCCACTAATAGCGGGCAGGCTGGCAGCACGCACCACAGTCAGTTTCTGGGCTGGAGCTGATTTGGGTCAGGGTGGTCTAGAGCGCGTGGAGGTGGGGCAACTTCATACCTGTCAGCAAAACGCTCTGCAGACCTGTTTGGGTTGAGAAAGAACTGTTTATGGGAAACCTGTTCAGGAGAATTACTTGACTACATCACATTGCTCTGGCTGTCTCCTAGCGTCTCCTGTGAGTTTGCATTTGCTATGTACATTCTGTTGTCCGTTATGCGTGCCTCTTGCATACAGTCTGGGAGTTCGCTCATGATCCGAAACAGCAGCATGAGGTTATACGCGGCATTTCTGATCTATATGTGAAGATTTTCTGTTCTCACTGAACCTGAAAGCTCTTAATTGGTCATTAAGGCCACTGCCCATTTTTTGGCAGAATGGGCTGTTCAGTCAGTGAACTATCCTACAATATTTTGATAGATTTATTTTGACTGTAAAAATCCCACAGATAAAAGCCAACTTAATTTCTCTGGAAGCATAAGTGCTGGAGGCAGGATAACTCTGTGACAAATACTTGCCCTGTAAACAGTATTTGAGGCACTTAAAACCAGAACAAACCCCCATATGTGCTCCCTCCTTCCTGTTCCATTCTCACAACTCAGCCTTGCTGTCAGTAGTTGTTATACAACATCTGTTCTTAAATTTAAAACCAAAACAAAACAAACTCAAAACCAGCAACAAAACACCCCAAAACTCAAAAAAACCCCATATGTTCCTGAGGACAGTTGGTAAAATATATGATTTTCCCTTTTTATTTTATTTTTAGAGGTCTTTAGGGTCTTTCTGGCTTCTGAATTCTGACTGTACCTTCACTTACAAGTTAAAAAAACCCACTGTAGTAAAACTGGTTTCTCCTTGTCCCTAATATCTCTTAGCACTCTCCACTTTTTTCTTTTTTTTTTTTTTTTCTTATTAATTCAATAAGGAACTATTCATGGTAGATCAACATGGGACTTCCAGTTATGATTTTGTTCTGTATGTGACAGTGGACTAGTTATGCCTCGCCAAACTTGTAAAAATGTTTTTGAGTACGATCTATTTTAGCAGAAGACAAGGGAATGCAGCCTCACTTCTATTTTTGTCGTGACTCTAATAGAGGAAACAGCTTTCAAAGCCCCTGCCAGTTGCCCTGAGTGTCTGCCTGAAAGTGCTAAACAACAGTCAATCCCAACTGTTCCAGATTTATTTATAACTGACTTCTTCGTTATCAGTCGGGGCTGCAGCATCATACGTCCTGCATTCCTATCTTGGAGATTCACTTACAGTCATGTTAAGCTTGGTCAGTCAAATGTGCTGGACTTTCTGTGATCCCATATAGGCAGCATCTGCATAGAAGATGGAATATTACTACCAGGAGTCAAAGGGTAAAGCCTGAATGTGTGTTACAATTTTTTTTTCCGCAGCTTTTTGGTCTGTTTTCTATACAAAGAGTACTTCTTTTCTAAACTTGTTATGGAATCATTGATAGAAGCACCACAATAAAATGTCTCCACTGCTGTTTTTCATTAGAAGTTCCTTTAGAACTAAAATTAAGTCTTTCTTTTTTATTATTTTTTTTCAGTTTTATTTTAAGCTGTTTTGATGCATTATCAGGCATTTCTTTAAAAAATACCATGAAATGAGATATTTGAAATTATGCTTGGTACAAAATTCAGTGACATGACTGACTTAGCTGCCAAATACTCGTGAATTCAAAAATTTTTTCTCCCTTCCTTTTTCTAGATATCATCTCTTCCATGCTGCGTTGCTAGTCTGTAAATTCTCTGACATTTTGAATATGATTCTTTCTAAGGGAAAATATGTCAAAAAAAAAAAGACAAATTAAATTCTAGAAGAGAGAATTAGTTATTTTTTGTGTGCTAGCAATCTTGAAGGAAAACAGGAAAATTGGATTGCCGGGATGATGTGGAGGCTAATCTGTGTTCACCCATTAATAAAGCCTGACCTCCAAGGCTTCTCCCACCTACCTGAATGTGCCCCACTGGCAGTAAAGTTGAACCCTGCTCTTCCTCAAAATATGCCATCACCTCCAGACAGACATTAGTGTCCTTTTGAATGATGGCCTTTTCTCATGACTCCTTCGTGTCTGTAGGGTCAGACAGTGGGCAGTGTCGGGACTTGTAATAGAGCTCAGTATTTTTTGGTTTGTTTGCTTTGATAAGCATTTGGTTAGAGGTTTGGAGCAGACAACATCTGTAGTTGATGCCATGGGTCAGCACAGTCGGCTGAGTTTTACACCGGGGTAGTTTTACATCGTGGTATTCTGTCTTCATAGTTGCATCCGGTGATGGCATCTCTCGAAGTCCTGAGTGTATTAATACAGACTTCCAGTATCTACTACTTGGTATAATTTACTGAATTTGTGGAACGTTTACTATGTTGGTGCGACATGTGAATTCCCTATAGTTGCACTCTATTAAGAACACTTGATATTCTTAGAACTAGGAACAAAAGGCTGCAGAACTGTTGGCCATGGTTAATCTGATGAAGCATGAAATCTGAAAGATTGAAATAAAATGTTGCTTACAGTCTAGTGACCGCCCCGAGGGCTTTATCTGGTTAGTTTAGTGGGCAAGCGAGGCTATAGATGTGTAGTCATTTCTAGCAAGCCTTATTAGCTAATTTATTAGTTGATATGGTTGACTAGCTTAGGTGCAGTGGCATGTAAGCCGTTTTCAGGACTAGCTGGGGTCCAGAAACATTGCTGCAGTGTTTAGCTTGGACAAAGAAGTTTTTCCTGGATTTGGCATCCTGAGCAGGATGGTGTTAGAACAGGCCTGCTTAGGCATGTTATCTCAAGTTTAGTGCTGGACCTGATGGACATAAACTGGTTGTGTGTGAAATATGCTGGGTTGCCATCTCCAGCATAGCGAGTTACACAAGGCTTATTTAGTGCAGTGCCAGCATTATGATTTTAGACCTTGGGTGATCACAGATCAACATGGATGTGTCTGCACCATATTCCTCAAGCACATCTATACTATCTATATTATCCGGGTTTTCCTGTTTTCCCAGATATTCTAGATTTTGGTAACCCTTACTGAATCTTGCCTGACATCACAATACACTGTGAGCATGTGCTTGGGAAAGCGATCTGGCTTGGTCAATGGTTGAGTTTTGGTGGTTGTAAGAATAAAACCAAAATCATCTGATAGATCAAACAGCCCTTATAGGATGCATTGGTTGCCAGTGAGTTCAATGTTTAGGTTGCTGAGAGAAGAGAGACCTGTGGCACCCAGCTGCTCTGTCACTGAAAGCGTGCGTTATGCCCTTGGGCAAGAGAAGCTGGTAACCGATGGTGTGTGTAAGAGGTCGCTGTTTCTTGTTCTGAGCATGGGTGTGATTGCCTGAACGTTTCGTTTACCCCTCCTGGGCACTGTAAAGCTTTTCATGTCAGTGTCATCCATGAGGTGATTTTGATGCTTTGCTTCTGAATAAGGCAAATCCATTACCATCGCCTGATGGATGACTTCCTTTCGCGTCTGTTTGGGTGTGTTAGTAACGAACCGGCAAAATTATAAATGCCATGTGTTGGTCTTGAGTAAGCAGATGCCTGGTTCGTAATGTGTTTACTTGGCTTTCACCACAGAGTTTTGGGAATTAAATGTGGTTTGTGGCTAAGTATTTTTTGAGTACCTGTGAGATATTGAGAAATAATGAAATATGTGCCAAAGAATGTTATCAAATGTATTTACACATTACCATGACACAGTCTATTTCACTCTGGCAAAATCCAGATAATTTGTACTTATTGAAACATAAATTGATGGATTTTTTACTTATTTGCTGCTCTGCTGAGTTAAGCAATGCTTCCGCTAACTACAGTATTTTTTTTTCCTTTTTTTTATTAAACAGATGGTGCCAACTGTTTCAAAAAAAATTCTTTTAGTTTTTTTTAACAGATTGCTAGCTTGAAAACAACTTTTAAAACAGTCTTTACTGATTTTTCTTGGTGATAACTGTGATTTTTCTAGCAATCACTAAAAACTGCAAAATGTATTTTAAAATGACAAAAATCATGCAAAAGTCTTCCTCTGTTCCTTTCCATTTAGGAGGACTGGTGTTTGGATAAAGATGAGATATAGTGTGAGAAAATGAAGTAGAGCAGACCTTGGAGATAGGAATGGTTTGAAACGTGAGGAATGCTTTGTCTTTACAGTTGATTTAGATGTGTGATGCAACACTCTGATCCTCTTGTGTTTTCCCTGTCCTTCAGTTAGTTATTCTGTTGTTTGATACAAGCAAGCACAGTTGTCCCTACTGCTCCACAGGGGACACTGAGGGTGAACAAGATCTCATAAAGAAGAAAATAGTGCATGCAAAGTTGCACAAAGTAACATTGTGAAGTGATTCACGTGCTTTAATTCTAAACAACTGGTGGAGCAGGCTGTATGAACCTTCCTGATGGTAACGTTCCTTATGAACCTTCCTAAGGTAACGTTATATGGGAACACTGTCGTTGGTAGTCTTCTGACTGATC